CGGGAGCGGCCCCGCGCCGCGCCGCGTGGCGGCCGCTCCGCCGCCTCTTCAGCACCGCCGCTGGACAGCGCCCGGCCGCCCGCCCCCGCCCCACCTCGCTCGCCGCCCATTGGCCGCCGAGAGGCGGAGGCTCCGCCTCTCAATGCCATTGGTCCATGTCGGCTGCCACTCAGTCGCGCTAGAGGCGGGGCCTGGCTTTCCTCCCTGAGACGCTCGTTTGTTTTCTGACATACCGCCCCGCGCCTCCGCGGCGGCCGCCTCATTGGCCATCGGCCCGGAAACCGAGGCTTCCTATTGGAGCGGCGCCGTTTCCAATCACGGACCACCCTGTGGGGGCGGCACCCTAGGCCGGGGGGCGGGCCTGGCGGTGGGGGCGTGGCCGAGGGTGTGGCCGGCACGCGGGGTGTGGCGGCCGGGGCGTGTCCCGGGGCGGCGCTGCCGGCGCGGCGGGGGCGGCGCGAGGCCGGGGGCGCCTCGCGAGCGGAGCTCGCCCTTGTGTCTCGAGCCGGCGAGCGGCCGGGAGCGGAGCTGCCACCCCGCGCCACGCCGCGCTGCTCTGCGAGCGCCCGCACGAGCCCCACGGCCGCCCGCGAGCGGCGGACGGGAGCCAGGCGAGCGCGCGGGCGGACGCGCCGTCGGGGCGAGGGGAGCCGGAGGGGGCAGCCGCGCCGCGCCGGCGGGGAAACCTGCCCGGCAGCGCCAGAGCCTGCGGAGGGAGCCGCGCTTCCCCCCCCTCCCTCCCCAATCCACCCCCGCGACCCTGGTCCTCCTCCTCCTCCTTTCCTCCTCCTCCTCCTCCTCACCCCACTGGATACAGCGAGGGAGACACTGCGGCGGAGGCGGCGGCGGCGGCGGCTCCTGCGGGGGGAAGGAAGCGCCCGGAGAGCGGAGCGGCGGGAGGCTGCGGATCAGCGTGCGCGGCGCCCACCGCCCAGCCCGAGGGGAGCCCCCAGGATGCGGCTGAAGCCCGGCGCGCTCCTGCGCTTCTACAGCCTCTGCGGGATCCTCATACAAGGTACCGCCTCCTGCACAGCCCTGCCCGCTCCGCTCCGCGTGGCGCGGGGAGGGGGCGGCCCGGGGCATCCCCGGCCCCTCGCCCCCCGCCGCCGCCCCTCCCCCGCGCCGGCTCCCCTCGCCCCGGGCGCCCTCTGCTCCCGCCGCGCCAGCACTTGGAGAGCGCCCCGGGGCGCCGCGCGGCGCTTAACCCCCTTGCGCCCTTCCTCCCTGCCCGCCGCCGGCCAACCTTGGCGGCCGCCCCGCCAACTCCGCGCCGCGCTCCCGCGCTCCGCCCTCGCTCGCCCGCCGCGCCGCCGAAAGTGCGAGCGCGGCGGCGGGCGCCCTGCGGCAGCGTCCCGGGCACCCCCGACGGAGCGCGGGCGGCGGGCGCGCGGGGAAGCGGCGCCCGCGCAGCCCGCGCCGCGCTCCTGACGCCCGCCACATCACGCGCCGCGGTTCCACGGCGACCTGGCTGCGTAAAACATGTATATATATATATTAAAAAAAAAAAAAAAATCAAGCGGACCGAGGTTTCGGAAGCGAGCGCCTCTCTTTAATGCCCTGTTTTAAGCGACTCTCCTCCTGCAGCTAGTTTCCCGACTCGATATATTTCCCTGTCCTCCTCCTCCCCACCTCCGCCTCCGCTCGCATCGCACCACCGCCACCTCTCCTCTTAATTAATATTATCCTTTCAAGTGAAATGTAACAGCCGCCGCGGCCGCGGCGGAGGGAAGCCTGCGAAGCGCTATTCTCATGCAAATGCCCGCCGCGCGTGCGAGAGATCGCTCCCGCGAGCCGAGCCCAGCCGAGCCGAGCCGCCCCGCGCGCTGCCCCTGCGCGGCGGGAGGCGAGGGGAGCCCCGCGGCTCCCGGCGGGCACCGCTGGCCGCGGGATGGCGGCGCGGCGGCCC